AGCCTACTCCTCTCAAGAATAATATTGCCCCTGGTAATGATCCAATATTATCATTAAATGATCTATTAGCCAATCTAATAGTACGTAATTGTGAATCTTCAGGTCTTGATACTATTGCTGATATATACTCTTTTAACTTACCCAAATGCATACGTAACTCTGCAATAGTCATGCTTGTATTATCCTCTAACATTTCTCTAATAGAAGTACATACTAAAAAGAATAAGAATCGTAGATATCACTAGCTCCTTCTATCCCCTATTGTGATCGATTATTATTACTTTTAGTATCCTCATCCATTGAGAGTATTCTAATCTCTTCCTCCCTACGTTTAGCTATTAACTCAGCATCTTGTGCATCAGCCCTCTCCTATGATTATAATAATAATGATGATGAACCATGAAGTATACTCTATTATAATGATAATAATACCTTTTCCGCTGCTTCCCTCTCTTGCTGTGCTCTCTCCATCTCTTTTCTTGTCTGATAATAACAATAATGAGTAACATGGTGATAGTAATAATAATTATATAGTAGTAGTATTACCTTATCAAAGTGAGCAGCCCATTGAGCCTTCTGTTCTACATCCTTTTCTATGGCATCCTTCTTATCCTTTTGGCGTCTCTTAATAATAATGACATTACTCTACATATTGATATAAGTCTTTGTCATACCTCCTCTTCCCTTCTTAATCTGTCCTTTTCTTCTAATACAGCATGCTCAAATAATGGTTGTATGATATCTTGGTACTGCTCATATACTTGCTCATATCTCTCTATTAACCCCTCCACCTAGTATTATAATAGCTACTACTACTATAATATATTATTACTACTACATTAGTCTTCATCTTAGGCCCATACACTGCTACATCAGGATTCTTACTGGCATCCAATAAGCGTTTCTTAAACTTTAATATATAATCACCACACTGGTTTATTAAGTTCTCGAAGTTGTTATATTGTTGTAAATCCTCTTTCGATGGTGGTAATCTATTGAGTCGTATCATCATTACTACTACTACCAACAACATATGAGTATTATTACTCATCTCTGCTGCTGCTGTTGCTGTTGCCTTTGGGTAAATGATTAATAACCAACGTCTCATGGGCCTGTAAGAGTCTATCAAAGAGATCTTCAGCCTTCTTGAATTCTGTCATGATGATAGATATAAATGCTGATAACGAGGCTCATAATAATGGGATAGAGACATCTGTTTAGCATTGATGGTCGTGGTGCTGGTGGATAGGGAAATGCTTTTCATGGACATCAATTCCGGATTACAGGTTCGATGATGCAGTTTAACATTATGAGCCAACAACCCATCTCTCAAGAGTATAGCAACTCTAGGGCATTTTGGGAATGTAGTCAGGGACTTATTTCACAAGAAACGCTCCTTAAGGTGCACCTTGGATGTACGAGCAAGGTGCCTTACACCTTACGCGGGGTGCTTTCACTACAGTTGCACCTTATGCTCCTAAATTTAAGGTACACCTCGTAAACCTCAATAAGGAGCACGAGGAGCACCTAAACAAACACCGATGCGCATGAGAGAGTCGACGCAGTGTTTCAATAAAGCCAAGGATATGGTTATTGCCATTAGATAGAACAAACTCGAAAACTTATTTACCATCAACTCATTTGAGGGCAATCGGTCATGACCATAAATGACCGCTGAAACGCCAAGTCGAATGTGGTAAAGATGCATGGTTCGGGGATAGATCATCCAAGGGTGAGACGCGCGGGCTGTCGGGAATAAGCGGAGCGAAGCTCCCATAAAATGGTAAGGAGGGGCTGCCCCACATCACAGCGCAATCATATCTGAGCGCCGTCCGAAAAGCGCGCGCCATAGTGATCTAAAATACATACTGCGATATTTCAGCGCGTAATTCGTTGCGCACGAGAACTTTTGAGCGCAAAGATTGGTTCTAGCTCTGGGTGATCCTCTTGACATTATGTTTGAATTTCAGTCTCTACGTGAAGTCTTTCAAAGGCTACCTATTCAGGAGGGATCGTAACGAGCCCGAACGTTCGAGGAGCGGCTGGAGATGCGTCAAGTCTGATCACCCTCCTGCAGGAAGCCTCAAGTGCAAAGCTCGGTTGACTATCTCAGGCGATCTCAACGGACCGGCCAACATGTTAGTTGTGAAGAATATTGATTAGGTGGCTGAGCATGTTTGTGGGGCCCGAATGCAGGGAAGGTGGTTCTGGTGAATTCCATGAAAAAAGCCATGGAACTGTCAGCATTCGAGAAGAAACCAGCCGAGGTTTACGACTACGTCACCGGAAG